TAACTCTTGCAACAGGCTCTGTTGGTTTGTTGCGCCTAGACATACCATACGAGTGGACGTGCGTCTGCAGCTGGTCGTTCACTTTAGTCTTACTCCGGAGTTCCTTCGGAACATACCGCTTGAGGTTGCCCCACTTGCGGTCCCGGCACTGTGTGCCATGCGTGTTACAAGAGGCTCGAGGCCCGTCCTCGTTTGACCCCACTACCGAGAAACCCGAGATGTCCAAATGACCAAGCACGGCGGCTGGACACAGTCAGAGGCGTTGAAGGAGCCCGCGAAGGAGCTGCAGGTATGGAAGGAGCTGGGCTGTCTGCCATGGCCCTTTGCAATAGGCTACCGAAGAGAACAAACTGAGCCGCGTGCAAGGAGAAGCAGAAGTGCGCGCGCAAGGGGCCGGCGATGCAGAGAAGATTGCAGAACGCAGGTCCTAAGAGCGTGCAAGGGCAGCAGATGAGGCTCTAAGACAGCAAGCCGCAATGGGTACCTATCTTCCAGCAAAGACGTTTGCCGAACGAAGTCCAAGACCGCGCCTGGCAGGCACTGCACTAGACGAAGGTCCTCCAGGACAGATCCAGAAGCGCAGCAGGAGCGGACGAAAAAGCCAGCAAGACGAAGCAAGATCACAACGGAAAGCACAGACAGAGAAGGCAGAGACAGAATGAGACTAACGGTGCATGGAGACGCGAATGCTATTATCCCCACCCACCCCGCCCCAAAACAAAAAAAGAGCCAAAAACTACAAATTCTGTGGGGCCACTAATGGCGGCGTGAGCAAAAACAAGGTAACACGGCTTCTTGGAGCCCGGTGTAACACCGCTGTTTCGTATGGCCTGCGTGTGGAATTATCAAGACGGGGTGTTGCAAAAACGATCACCAGGGACAAAAAAGTGTGTTTGGGAGGAACCGAAGACAAAACGATGCGAAAGCGATCATTCTGCGCTGGAACTATCTTTTGAAAAGGATCCCACCGACTGCGGGGTGCATGGCGCTTTTTCGACCATCTAGCTCTACTATACGCTCTTGGGCCCTCGCTGTGACCACGAACGTAACTATTTCCCCCCCCCCCCTCCCCTCCCCCCCCAGGGTCAGTTTGCGTGCTCCGAAAGGTCCCGATGGCTTTTGGGCTTTTTTGGGTGTCTCGAGCCAGTCAAAAGGTCGCGATGGTTTCTTGCTGGCCTGCGCACGGGCTCCAAGAAGCCGTGTCACCAAAACAAACGACGAAGCAAGCAAGCAAGCAAGCAAGCAAGCAAGCAAGCAAGCAAGCAAGCAAGCAAGCAAGCAAGCAAGCAAGCAAGCAAGCAAGCAAGCAAGCAAGCAAGCGAGCGAGCGAGCGAGCGAGCGAGCGAGCAAGCGAGCGAGCGAGCAAGCAAGCAAGCAAGCAAGCAAGGAAGCAAGCGAGCAAGCAAGCAAGCAAGCCAGCGAGCAAGCAAGCGAGCAAGCAAGCAAACAAACAGGGAATCAAGCAATCCAACAAACAATCAAACAAACAATCAAACAAACAAGCAAACAAACAAGCAAACAGGCAGACAGGATTAACCCTGAAATTGGCGCTCGACAACTCGTAATCAACTGGATTTACAATTTCTTGGGCTCCAGCTTCTCCTTGGTTTCGGACTTCTCAGCTTTGGCTTTTTCAGCTTTCGGCTCCTGCGCGGCTCGCTTCCGATGTGGCGGACTTGGCAACTTGCGGAGTGAGACGACTTGGGTGTTCGATTCGCCAAGTTAGGAAGTTGTTGGGAACCGTTCGGTTGCAACTCACATTTTTCAGTCCCGTTCAGTGAGGCTAAGCTTTTTAGGGGGTTGACACCCAAGCGGCTAACCACGTACTAACCTGGCGAAACGAACATCCAAGTACCGGTCCCTCTTCTCCACTTGACTATCCTACGCCTGGCCCATCTGCTGGTTCCAGCAACCCAAAGTTAGCAACTCCCGCAGTGCACCTAATTTCCTCCGGTCGCTTCCATTTGTTCCTCACAGAAAAGCCCACTAGCGAACCCGCCTGAGTTTGTACTGTCGTTTGAAAGAAATGGGTGACTCTTTTGGCCTCCTCCCTGAAAAAACGAGAAAGGGAAAGACTTTGGTTGTTCTTCTTGGTTCCCTGTTACAACCACAAAAAATGGCACTGTCACCAAAAAAGCAAACAGACCCAAATCCTGCTCCAGTTGGAATGGATGAAACCTATGAAGACTGGCAGCGCAGATTTTGTAACTACCACAGAAGAACACTGCACTTGGGTGACCATAATGGGGCAAGCAGAAAAAGGGGCATCTGTAGCTTGCGTGACCGGTGTGGGCTCCTTTTTTCTTCTCGGATGACCACTGGCCGACCCAACTCTGAGGTACAAACAGGTTTTTTGATGCTCCATAGTCCATGTGTTTCCAAAGGTCCCGACGCCTTTGGGGTCACACGGTCAGCCACTCGCTATCCCGCTATCGGTAGCTCAGCAGATCTGCGGGAGGTGGCACACACTTCTTGCCTGGGCGGAACATCGCGGGCCTTTGAAACCAGGGATCCAGCGGGGCCAAGGATCGCAAAAGAAGACGGGGTGGAAAAAACCCACGTTTGGAGACTGGAGGGTCGCATGGCCAATCTGTTCAACATAGAATCCCAAAAATCAGATTCCACTCAAAAAATGGAGGTCCCTTTTTTGTGGGGGGGGGGGGCACGTTCATCTGGAGCGTCGTCTCTTGGTCTCGGGTCACTCTCCGGCGGACCCACCGGCAGCGGGAGGCGTGCGCGCCTTGCTGCTTCCGCCTCTCGCACTCCAGCTCCCAGTCCTCCTGCTCCAGGCAGTCGGCCCGGGTCTCCTGGGATCTCGGGGCCGACTTTTTTGGGTTTGATCCCAGACGCCCCTGGGGGGGGAGGGGGAGGGAGTGGGCGGGGGGGGGGAGGCAAAACAGGGCACTCCGATTTTTTCGGGTAGTTGATTTTAAGGGGAAACCCCTGTAAGAAAAAGAAAAGGAAAGAAGGGTTGGTTCTCACTAAGCATCTGAATGAAAGCTTGGGCGAAATGGGCAGGGATCTTCATCAAAGGCCTCCGTGGTGGGCATCATTTACCCATGTATGTTTCAATATAGGGGGGGATAGGGGGGATGGGGGGGGATGGGGGGGATGGGGGGGGGATTCAAAATCATGGGCTTCCATTTGCCATCAAAAGACAAGAGTCAACAGCCCAAGTGTCCATGTGCAATTGCAAACTTGTTCAAAATGCTGTGGAGTCCCCAACTGTTGCGTTAAAACAGAGCCCGGACATAGGGCAATCATTTGTGGGTGTCCCTTGCCACTCCAAAACCTTGGTGTAAAGAAAACAACACGGGTACCCTGTCAAGAAAAAACAGGCATCCACATGGCACCCTCGGTGCATCTGCGCCAAGTCTCGCCGTCCGCACGCTTCTTGCAAGCAAGGGGATCGTTGTAGGAAGTACTCGCCATCTTCTCCAACTTGTCCAAGCTAGCCTCGGTGGGACCCGGCATGTGCTTGTTGGGAAAGCTCCGGCAGGTCTCCGGATCATGGGGTGATACAAACATGCTGATTGCTGCAGATGTCATCATTCCCCAGATAGCTGAAAGCGCTTGGGGTTCTAACTTCTACTAAACAAGGGAAAGTGATTTGCGAGATTGAGGGCCGGGTGCTGGGGGGGATGCAGTTTGGGGTGCTGGTGGAGGTGCTGTTTTGCGAGCTTGACGGCCGGGTACTAGGTGGCATGCAGTTTGCAGTGCTGGTGGAGGTGCCGCTTTGCGAGATTGACGGCCGGGTGCTAGGGGGCATGCAGTTTGGGGTGTGGTGGAGGTGCTGTTTTGGAAGATTGACGGCCAAGTGCTAGGGGTCATGCAGTTTGGGGTGCTGGTGGGAGGTGCTGTTTTACGGGCGCTAGGGGGCATGCAGTTTGGGGTGCTGGTGGAGGTGCTGTTTTGCAAGATTGACGGCCAGGTGCTGGGGGTCATGTAGTTTGGGGTGCTGCTGGAGGTACTGTCTTGCGAGATTGACTGCCGAGTGCTAGAGGGCATGCAGTTTCGGGTGCTGGTGGAGGTGCCGCTTTGCGAGATTGACGGCGGGTTGCTAGGGATCCGGGAAATAAGCCCACGTCAGCAGCACCTCCAACAGCAACACAAACCAGCACCTGCACCACCCCAAACTGCATGCCCCCAAGCACCCGGCCGTCAGTTTCGCAAAGCGGCACCTCCACCAGCACTCGAAACTGCATGCCCCCTAGCACCCGGCCGTCAATCTCGCAAAACACCACCTCCACCAACACTCCAAACTCCAAACTACATGCCCCCTATCTCGCAAAGCGGCACCTCCACCAGCACCCGAAACTGCATGCCCCCTAGCACCTGGCAGTCAATCTCGCAAAACAGCACCTCCACCAGCACTCCAAACTACATGCCCCCTATCTCGCAAAGCAGCACCTCCACCAGCACCCTAGCGTCAATCTCGCAAAACAGCACCTCCACCAACACTCCAAACTACCTCCACCAGCGCTCGAAGCGGCATGCCAACCCGAGACTTCTAATGAGTGCTGTTCGGTTCAGGTGCTGGTGACAGTACGTGACGGCAGGGTGCTCGGGGACGTGTCCGGTGCTGGCGCGGGTGCTGCGTTGGGGTGCTATTGGGGCTGCTGTTTTACGGTGTTGGTGATGGTGCGGCCGCATATGGATGGCAGGGTGCTACTGTTTGGGGTATCGTGGTTGTCGCATCCTCATGATGCTGGCCGCAGCATCATGATGCTGTCAGCAGCACCATGATGCTGTTGAACCGATTCGGAGGTTGTTGCTGCTCTAACTGTCGCGCGTAATGGTTCGTGGCTTGTGTATCATCATGATGTTGTCACTCACGTTATGATGCTGCTGCAATCGCTGCGGTGCCGCGTTATGGTTTGTGGGTGTGGTGGCGGGCATAATGCTGTCAACATCGGCTGAATTTCATTACACTGTCGCAAGATGATTCGTGGCTGTGGTATCATCAGGACGCTGCCTTTGCCATCACCATGATGCTGTGAGCATCATCATGATGCTGTCCGCATCATCATGATGCTGTCGAACTCATCAGGACGTCGTCTCTGCCTTGCTGCTAGATATGTAGCGCGGAATCGTTCGTGGCTGGTGTAGCAGCATCACCCTGTCAACATCAGTTTTGCTGATGGACTCACTAGGACGTTGTCTGTGCATCTATGTAGCGCACTATGCTGAGTAGCTGTGGTATTTCCATGATGCTGTCAACATCACCAAGATGCTGTCAACATCATCATCATGCCGCGGGAACCATTATGATGCGCGTCATGGTTCGTAGCCGTGGTGTGCTATCTGGGGTCTATGCTGGTGTAATCTTTCTATTATGGGGATACGTACAAACTTGGACATTTGCATTTCAAAATTGGGCGCATGAGGAGAAGACTCGCATCTTCGTTGTTGAGCCGGCGACAAGTGGATCGGATGACGAGTTCAACCTGACCCCGGACCTTCTACCTTGCCTTTCCTTTTCCTTCTGCCTTGCTCAGCTGTAGAGAACGTGCACATTAGATTGTAATGCTGCAGAGTTCGAAGGTCTGTTTTGGTCTCCAAGTTTCCCGCACCAACTCAGAATGAGGCGTTCTGCCAAAATAAGGGGCCCCCGCAATTAAAGCAAAAAGGGGTGCTCCCTCAAAGCCAGGCGTCTTGGGAGCGGTAAAACGCCCATGCCGCATGGGACTTCTGCGTCCGAGCTGCAGAGAAGTCCGCGTCCGCGTCTGGCTTAAGCACGGCCAAAGCCTGGCCATCCAAACTGGCTGAGAGCCGACGATTCGGTCCAAATCTGGACGATACAAAACCTACCCGCCCCCGACTCCCCATGTTGCGCTCCTTTCTTTGCAAAAAAAAACTCCTGGTGGGTTGGACTGCTTGCAAGTTGGACCCCCCCATTTCGGCCTTCTCTTTGCCACAAAACAACGGGATGTGTGGTTTGCTGGATTTCAACTGCTTGGAAGTTGGCCCTTTCTTTGGCCAAGGGCACTCCGGAAGCCAGCAACAAGGGGTCTCGGCGACAAGGTCAGTGACTGATACCAAGCCTTGACCCACAAAGAGAACAAGCAACACACTCCTTGCGTTGGATGAGTTGAAAAGATGAGTTGCGCTCCCAAGGGTGCCCTTGGCAAAGCTTGCCCTTCTCCCATTGTCCCCTATCATAACTTAGACCGCTTTCGGATCTGGGCGAGAGTTCTGACAGCAGTGTTGCGGCGGTTGCCTTGAGGACATGGGAAAATGTACCCCGTCTCACTGGCTGTTTCCGGGATCAACACCATCAGAAAAGAAACAAACAAGCAACAAGGACCATAAAACTACCCTTAAGCAATGTGGAAGCCGGCTTTCGGCGTTCACTACTACCTGGCAAACCAACCGACACCTTTGAAAGAACGTGCTGTTTTTAAAACGACGGTGGCCTCAAAATGGAAAATGGGCGCTGGGTGGCCTAAAGATTGGCAAGTCTTAGCAGTACTAGTGCTCTGTACCAATTCCTTATTGTTCACACTGATTTACATCCCCAAACCCCCCATCGAGGGGGTCCTTTTTGTGACAAATGGGTGGAGAAATTGAATCGCTCGAGGTGCAAAGGTGTAGCATGAAAAGTGGAACCCCACGAAAAAAATGGGCACCACGAACCAATGAACTGGCATCTCGGGCGGTTCTCCAAGTTGCCCTTCTCCATGGTCGGTTTCCCTCTTTTGCCCTTTGAAACCAACCAACGGATCCAATCCACCAGACCACCCTCGACTGACTCGTCAAGGGGCCTTCGCAGGCAGACACGCTGGCAGCGCCGCCAGCAGCGACCTCCGACCTACCGGAGGCGAGATTCGGGGCGGAGCGCCGTGCCAGGTACGAGCAATGGGCTATCTGGGGCGTGTCCCGACTAAATGAGGGAATCCCGGCAAAATTGAATTACTTTTTACTTTTTGCCCAACCACAAAGGACATCCCTGAAAATGTGATCTACTTTTTCACCCTTCTAAAAAGGACATACTCATGTACAGATTTCAAAAAGATGCGGATTCAAGGATCTCCTTCGAGACGGGCCGTTTCGTCCGCCCTCCCGGCCTGGTACAAAGCAGCTGCCGGGCAGAAGCAGCAACACCTCGCATGCACGCCGTCACCCAATGGCTGCCTTCACCCGGTGTTGGGGGAATAGAGTTGGGGGGGGGGCGGGTTGGGGGGGCAGCGGGGGGGGGAAGTTATTGGTTGGCATGGGGGTACTTGGATCTTGGGTGCCCCTTTGCTAGAAAGTGGGTATCCACTTTCTAAACTTGTGTTATAACCCCCTAACAAGGTTAACCCCACTGAAGCTTATAACCAACTTGGACGAACACCCAAGTACGCACCACAAGCAATGTCATTTCCGCGGGTTGGGAGTCGTCTCGAAACCTGGAAGCTCCAAACAGATGGTGTCCTTCTCGCTTCCATTTTTTCCCAACCCCCCAAGAAGGGTACCCTCAGAAAAAGGCACCGTTTGGAAACGTGCTGGTTGCCACATGGCTCTTCCAAGAAAGGTATGAAGTCCAGGAACCCAGACATTGAACCGAAAACATGGGCCATGTGGGGATGGGTTTCTTCTCTGGTCTGCATTACGCATGCGACTTTGTGGGTTTTAACCATGGCTCATGAGAAAAGGACCTTGATCGCGTGGCAAACCGCTGGGCTAGTGCCAGATGCGAGCTGGGGCCTAAAGCGCAACGTTCTGAAGATCATGTTGGTCAATCGCGAAGATATAAGATGCCAAAAGCGGACCCAGAGAAAGGGCGCCAGTACGTGAGGCCAGGTGAACCGAAGAGCGGACCGAAGGGCGGACCGAAGTGCGGAGCAAACGGCGCGAAGAGAGCAGAGCAGACAGAGACGCGGAGCGAATGGGGAGAAGAGCGAAGCAAGTGGGCAAATGCTCCGGGAGCCTTGCTGGCGGGGAGTTGAGCCTGCGGTGGGGAGGGGGGGGCGGCGTCATCTTCCGATGTCAAATTTCTTGGACAGAGACTCCAGCCGGGCGCGCTGTTTTTGCGGCCGTGGGGGGTGAAAGGGAAACCCCACAGGAAAGGCCCGCCAACCGCTGGGAGTCCGCTACAACACCCGGCAACAACACCCCCAGCTGACGTCTCTGACTGAACGAGTTTGGAGCCAGGCGAAGGCCCCAGCGGCTCCGCGGCGCCATGGCAGTTTTGGCTCACAAGAGGATTGGTGTCTTTGGGAAGCCAAGTGGGCGTTTCTCCAAGTAGGAATTGGTGCCCTGCGATGTGTGACTTCCTTTTGGCTTGCTTCCCTTTTACAGACTATTCAAAATGGGGTCCGAATGTTTTGAGAAGTGGAAGACCACCATTTGGAGGGTCTGGCATGGACAAATTGAATTGGGCCAATCTCCATGGTTTCCGTGGACAAATTTGCCGCTCATCCCCCCTTCCGCAGTAAAGGGGATGTCATGGCGCACACGATTCCCTGAAATGAGGTATTCGTCATTTTGTCAGTAGCTCACATCAAAATTATTTCCCTCACTCTGGCGTTCTTCCCTGGCTTGATCTGCACGCGAGGTGCGGTCTCAATTCGCCGCTCTGGCTGCATCTCCACAAGGAACTCGCAATGGGGGTTGCCTGTAAATAGGAAAAAACATGAGATTTCCGTTTGAAACCCCTCGCCCTTCGAACAAACGCACAAAACGCTCGCAAACATCGGAACTAGTGGGCATGGCATCCATCCCCAGCCGTCCCCATCCGCCCCCTACACGTCGCCAGGCGCTTGCCAACCGAGCTGTCCTCTGCATCCGGCGCTGTCTGCGCGAGGGCACGGAAGCCAGGCGACCAAACAACAGCCACACAAGCTGTGATCTTTCAAGCGTCTGAGTTGGTGCGTGGGATCATCCCTTGTTCGGCGTTGGTAATGTGGGTACGAATGTTCATTGGGGACCCGAAATGGTGGACGTCATCTAGGTTACTCAGAAGGCTGATTTGGGAGGGTTCCCAACGAAAGGTGCAACTCCGAAAGGTTCCATTCTTCAATTGTCCGCATGGGTGGCTCGTTTTTTTTGAAGGGGAGCCTTGTGTTTTTTGTGGTGTATACCAAGGGAAACAAACAAACAAAACGAAGCCCTTTGTGGGGTCCAAATCCTGAAAGCCTGAAAGAAGACGAGCCACCCACATCACATGGGGCCACAAAGCCTGGCACCCAAGATGGCCCAAACAATCGAGAAGTCGATAGGGCCTTTGCAAGTTGCCTTCTTCACAAGCCGGTCAGGCGTGCCAGCCCAAGATGGGATAGGATGGTTCACTGCAGTTGCGATGATGCGCTGACACAAATTTGAACGCACCCGCGCCTTGTCCGTTTCGCTCATGCCCTCTTCGAATGCCTGCAAAGCAACTCTCTTGCTTCTGCATCCCTTCACCGGTCCTCGATCCCATACTGAGTGGTTCAAACTGAAGAGAAGCACCCTATTGACGCCCAGAAAGATGGCCAAATGGCCGGGATACACACCACATTCTGGGTCAAGAGCTCCCTCGAATTGGATTGCTTGGGTGCTACAAATCATGCCTTCGCTTCGTACCCAAGCAACCTAGCGGCACCCTTTGCGGCACCGTCCAAAAAGGAACCGGCCATTTGACAACCCTCCAATTGCTGGTGCTCAATAGGGATCGGGGGAATGGACCTGGGATTCCCTTAGGAAACCTGGGATGGCGGGTTCCATTTCTCATTTGCCTATCGAACCGGCAAGTATTCGAGTGCTACCTGCCCCATTCTTTCCAGGGATCCTTCTTTCTAGAAAACCTCCGGAAACCCAAAGGGCCGATTCTCGAAAAGAACGATGGTTGGAAAGAATGGGGAATCAACCCTTAGAAGTATACCCGACACCCTGAGCTTCTCCCCAAAGGGAACCAAACCGTGGGAGCATCTGCCCGCCTTCGGGACTTCCTTCAGATCTCCTGCTGCCTGCGCGCATCGACGCGAATCGATGCGAATCGATACAGATTTGCTCACCATCCCAATGAGTGGTCCCTGGGCAAAAAAATTGCATTAACACAAAAACAAATATATTGTTGTTCAAAAAAAAGGAATAAACATGTACCCCGGAATGGAGGCAAGCACCAGATGGAAGTGCGTCCGCTTGAAGAGGCCTGCTCCCATTTGCCGCACTTTGAGTGTAGAACCTTTCACAAAACTCACACTGCCAAGCTCCTCTGAGGATCTTACAAGAATTCGAAAGCCTGAAATGAGGGACCAGGTAAGGACCTACATCCTGGTGAGCTCGGTTTATGTTCAGGTGAGCTCGCCACGACGCTTGTTTGGCGAACAAACCAAGCCGCACAACCCAACAGTTCCTCCCATGCTAAGGACAGTTCCCAGTGTCATCCCAGCGAAAAAGCGTCCAAATCACATCAAGAAATACCAGCCTTAAGGCTTCTTCACAGAGTCAGGACGGACCATCCATCCCAACTGGTGAAGGACCTTTTCTATCCATGGGATGGACAGACATCTTTACTCACTGAATAGTCATTGTGATATGTGCAGGGATGAGCACCGACCCGACGCAGAACGACCACCGACTCTGCGAGCAGAGTGAGTCGCGTGATCGGCCGGTCGTTCGGAGCAGACCGGCCCTACATGGTGATCACGCCCTTTCTCTCACTTGAGTGGACTGGTCACAAAACGTAACCAGACGTTTGGTCTACCACTAAAACTGCCCAGTGATGGTGATTTATGGCAGTAATGGCTCCTTAGCTCCCATTTGACTCAAATGATACTCATCCCTTCCTCGGCTCCCCCAACGTAAAAGGCGGCCATCCCAAACGGAACCGGCCATCTTTTTGACCACCGAGTAACCTCATGTGCACGGGAAGTGAGTGGAAACAGCCAGCGACGCGATCTCGACGTTCCTCAAAATGGCCCTGCCTGTTGGTTGGTGTTTAAAGGGAAACCATAAAAAAGAACAGGTTTATCCATTCAGACCTGACCTCTTCAGCTGGTCGCTTTCCTTTTCCCCCCGTTAAACCCAACAAGGGAGCCACCCAGACGCCCCATCCAGCGCTTCATCCGCTCGCGCCTTGCCAGCCTCCTTCGCCAGGCCCTTCAAAGTCTCAGGCCCGAAGAAGAGGACCGCCGCGCCCAGGATCTGGAGGACACCAACCACTTTTAACATGTGGACCAAACCCTGTACCAGTTAGCCGGTTTATCCCAGGGTTTCTAGGATTTCATCCATCCCTAGTGGCTCGTCGTTTTTTGAGGATCGATCCGTTTTGGGGTTGCTTTTCAAGGGAAACCTGAAAAAAATATGAGGCTCTCCAAAAAGGGACAAACCAATTGGATCGCTGGAGAATCAGATTTTGAGCGGCCCGTTCAATGGGTCCTACCAAGTGGGCTCTACCAAATAGGTCCCTTCGGATGCTACACGCGTGATTGTCCTTTAGAATTATATTGTTGGCCATCAAGACTTGGGGGACCCGTTGGACGGATTCCAAGAAATGAGAATAGGATGAGTCAGATTGATTCCATTTATTTTCCATCCAGATTTCGGTGACCCGTTGAATGGGTTCTAACAAATGGGTTTCTTTCGGATGTGAAAAACAGAGGATTGTCCTCTCGCGCGAGCTGGAATGTATTGAAACCCCCTTGGGGTCCCCCGGCATTCAGATTGTTTTTGCTAAGCTGGCATGCACATGAATTCAGAATCTGCGTGCCCATAGCGGCCAAGAACGCTCCCTCGCGTTCCACGCGTCGCCGGAACATTGGCTGCCTTTTGACTGTTGAAACCAGGTACCTTCCAAGGAACAGATCCAGAACTTGCGTCAGCCGTGTCCATTTGACATCGGCGGCTTCCCCTGGATTCGAGCATCTGTGCAGCTGGGAACCCACACCGCTGTTCTTGATCCTCACGCCCGACAACTCCCCAAAAGGTCGAGACAATGCCCAAAAAACCACGAAAAGACACCCCCACGTGGCGTTCGCAAGGTCCCATCCCCCCCAAAAAAAGAAAAGAAAAAAGAAAAAAAGACAAAGCCCCCCCCCCTCCCCCCCTCCCTAAAAAAAAGAAGCCAAAGCACCGCCCCCCCAAAAAAATAGAGAAAAGGAACAAGCCATACAAAAAGCGACCCAAAAGCCCCCCCCCCCCCCGCGTCTTCTGTCCTTCTCCCTTCAGCCCAAGGGCTCCGAAAAGCTCCTTCCGAGTTCCGCGCCACCAGCAGCTCAGAGGTGCCGAGACCGAAGAGCCGCCGCGCCGTGAGGGACCTGGCGCCGTCCACTTTTTCTTTTTCTTCGGTTTTTGGCCCAGGGCCGACTCCTTGGGTCACCAAAAGGGGCCGGAAATGGGCCCAGGCCCTTTCGATCCGGTTCGAATGAAATGCGAAAAGGTGAGAAGGGCCATCAATGTGAAAGGCCAACGAAAGACTCACGAAAGGCAAGATGGTCAAAAAGCAGCCAGGTTGTAAAAACGAACAGGCCCACGAGTGGATGCGATCGAAAAGAAAGAAATCCCAAGGCTATCTTTTCTAGAGACTCAGCACCAAC